TACCGCGGCGGCGGCACCCACAGCCGATCCAGCCTCGAATGAACATGGGCTTCAGTTCACAGCTACATCCTCCAGCTTCTCGTCGGAGCATCTCCCTGGCGCGCCTATCCTGCCAGGTTGCGTGCACTGGTCGGCGGACTGCAAGCTAGCGTGCGTCACGGACGAGAACATCATGATATCAACGTACTTGAACAAGGACCTCAGTCGGTTTTTGCTGCACCCACCCTTCCTCACACGCTACTTTCTTCCGCTGCCTGCCAAGGACACGAACGTTCCGGAGCCACCGACGCTGGACGGCGTGCATGAGGACGGACTGGATGCGCACGGCACCACGACCTATCGCATCCTAAACGAGCAGGCAAGGAAACAATCATCGAATCCACAGGAAATCCCCTGACCAAAGGCGAGGCCAGCATGACGTTCACCGCGGCGGTGTGGGGTCCTCGAGGTTGGTACCTACCTGTCCATTCCATCGTTCAATCTCATTCTCATGTGGTCACCTACCTGTAGGCTCTGCGCCCAACATGTCGTGTGCCATCGCGACTTTGACGTCCAGCGGACAGGTGGGCGTGTACTACCCATCCACATTGGACTTGCAATGGAAGGAAGTGGTGTCAGTGTCGAGTCTCTTGAAGCGCCACGTAGCCGCCAACTCGTGGTCGCACGTCACCGCGGCCATCGAGGCGCACAACGCGACAGACTTGCTCGTCACGGTGCCGTTGTCGCGCTTTCCCCAGCAGCAAAAAAACAAAGCCAGCATCAACGCCGCGTTCGACGCCAAGCGACAGAAACTGTCGGCGTCGTTCGTCGACAAGGTGGAACTGCAGTCGGTTACCACGTTGGCGTGGTCCACTGCAACCTACGACCCGACGACGGGAGCCAGCATGTCTTACGTGGCGCTCTGTGGGAAGAGACTCTCGACGGTGTGGCGGTACGAGCACAACTACGCTGGGACCAACGGGTTGTTCACATCCCGTTTGGATGAATCGCCGGTGGCCACGGCCGTGACGGGCGTGTATGGCTGGCCCACATGCAGCGCTTGGATGTTCATGGAAACCGACGCGCTCGTCGTCGGCACATCGAGCGGAAACGTCCTCATGATGCGCTTGACCCGCCAAGAGGGCAGCGGCGGCAGGATAGCGCTGGAGGACTCCCTCATTGAAACACTATTTTCTGAGAATAGAAACAGTAGTACTGTTTTAATCAGGGAATTGTTCCCTACACACACATCCCCAGGCAAGCCTTAGCTAGGGTGCGTCATGAGCCAGGCATCGGTAGGAGCTGGGTGCGGGCAAGGCGCGTCACCTCCCTCACGTCAGGGTTGCGTAACTTGCAGCCTGTATGTCCCTACGAAGTACTCTCGATAAGACCCCAACAGTCTAAGTACGCTCTAAAACAAAGCCTCGCTCGGAAATAATCCATCATTTGCTCGAAAATAATCTTTTCCCAAGCGAAATCACCCAAGGACCTGGAAGAGGGGCGCCATCGGGATATCATTTCTACAACATTATCCCGGCGCTTCAGTATCCCATCTTCAACACCTACCTCACCTTGGAAGGTTGCGTGGCGCCGCCACTTCCACCGCCACAAACGTGGCCAGCGGGGACGCCGTCGGCCAGAGCCATGTCGTTATAGTACCACGGGTTGCGTACGACGTCCCTGCGTCGCGTTCAGGCCATATTTGGCTTCGAAATATGACAAGCCCGTCGACGAGGATCACGTCTGTGGTGCCCGCGGCGATTGTTCACCGCCCATTTCACTACAGATCCAATAACGGCACCATGAGCAGAATTCCAGAGTAACAACTCATTGTCTAGCATCTTGTAGATCGGGTATGGACAAGTTGTCCAAGATGCTAGCCATCGAGGTGTTGAGGGGTTCGACCCCTCCCAGTACGTGGCCACGTGAAACCGTAACGCAAACCTTAGATGTCAATCGCCTCATGTATGGATCAATATTGGAACCGCCAGGACAACACGAGACATGCAATGTTCATTATATACGCTACTTCAAAATGCAAGACATTTTTTTCTACTTCTGGGGGCACTTGCCCGTCTTGGGGTCCAACACTCCGTTGCCCCCTGCGACACGGTAGCACTTGGTGGAGGGGAAGATGGACATGATGTTGCTGGACACGGTGAACGACACGCAGAAGAAAAACACGGACACGAGAATGAACCCCGCCACTTTGCTCTTGCCACCACGCGCCTTCAGGGCCTTCACTTCTGCCTTTTGGGGAGGCAGCAAGAACAGCCAAAACAACGACGCGATCTTGAACCCGTACGAAATAAAGTACACGTACGTGACGTCCCACCGCACCTCGAGCGTGTCGGTCTTGACGTCATTCTGACTTACTTTGAAGTACGAGTTGACGTACTTGTAAAATATGCTGGCAAAAGGCCCCGAGAGGTTGCTCACAGTGGAGATCAGGCCGTACGTGGCACCTTCGTTCCCCTTGTCGGCGATTTCCACAGCCACGTACGTGGACACGATAAAGCGGAGGCCATAGGGAAATTGCTCGGCCAACCCCACTCCATTGAAGAACCACTGGTTGCGCACGACGTTCCAGATGGTCAAGAACACGACAAAGCCGTCGACGACGACCATCCCGAGGGTACCGGCGGCGATGGTCCAGCGCCAATTCCAGTTAAGCCCCCATTTGCCCACAATCACCAAAACAGCAGCAAAAAGCAAATTGCCAAGGATGTTCGAGAGCGCATCGTTGAGAGGTTCGACCCCCGCCCAGTACGTCTGAATGGGTAATGTCGCAGTGGTGCTGACGCCATTGAACACGTTGCTGAGGAATCGGAACAAACAAACTTGCCACAACACGCGACTCTGGAGAGATTCCCAAAACTTGCCCCACCATAGGGGGAAGGACACAGGCTCAGACTTCTTCTCCACGAGAACAAATATCGTCGAGAGCACCACCAGAACACAAGGGACCAAGGCAATGCCGTACGGAGCATTCGGCGACAATGAAAACGAAAACGACCCTCCGTAGTTGGGGCCGTTCAGCCCGAACGCACTCACCAAGTAAGCAAGGATGCCAGCGAGCGTGCGCACAGTGTAGATGGCGGTCTGGATGCGGCCTCGGATAGCAACGGGTTCTCGCTGGGCATACTCGACCACCATCGCGTCCGACGCACTCGCAGCCAAGACGTATCCAAACGCGATAAACATGGACAGAAGGGTGAACAGCGTGCCGTTGTCGGGGGCGGATAAGTTGAAGTACTGCAGCTCGTGCTCTGGCACCTCTTCCAACGGTGTACCACAATACTTGGTCTTTTCGCGGTTGCAAAACGGCTCGCCGAACGGTGAAAATGCCATCACACTCAGACAGATCATTGTGACGGTCCACCCGATCAAAATCCACGACTTGCGACGATAGCCATAGATGGGGACGCAATCCGACAACAGGCCAAAGAGGACCTTGAACGACCACCCGATGTGCATCAACACCTGGTACGACGACAGTTGGTAACCCTCCAAGTTAAGATAGACGTTGAAGATGGGATACTGGAGCGCCGGGATTATGTTGTAGATGATCCCGATGGCGCCGTACTGCATGAACAGGGCAAACGCTTCGCGGGAGAACAAGTCCAGCGCACCCCCTTCAGTCAGCGCCCCCTCTTCCAGGTCCTTGGGCGATTTCGTTTCGACGTACCCATCATCGTCTTTTGCCGTGTTCGAGTGGATGTATGACACGCGTTCCTCCAAGTGCACCGCCTTGTCGTCCTGGCTTGCCATGGCAGACGAGAAACTGAAAATGAATTGATTGTTGTGCCTCCACCAATTCCGCTGAAGGGGGGATCGATTCCTTGAATGTCACAGGGTAAATCATTTCGTGGTACTAGTAGACAGTCAGTCCGGGTGATCGCAACATGTGAGTATCTGAGCAAAACTTCGACAACACGTGAATACTTCGACAATACTAGTATGAGTAAGTACTTAGTACTAGGCGTACTTAATGACAAATTTGATGATGGTATTTATTGTACTAGTAAACGTTAACGTTATTAATACATGTAGTAAAGACAAACCAACGGCAGATGGAAAGCAACAGTGAAGTGCCCGACGAGTGCAATGGAGACACGACGAAGGCGCTTCCCGAGTGAAACGTCATTCCCCTTTCAAGGTTGAGTTGCGTGTCTCCATTGCGCTCGTCGGGCACCTCACTGTTGCTTTCCATCTGCCGTTGGTTTGTCCAAGTCGGGTATTTGGGAAATATTTTTATTCCAAAAGTAATAAATCTCATCCAAAATTGTAGCAACTATTGTTGCACCAATAAATCTCGTCCAAAATTGTGGGAACTATTGCTGCACCAATATTCTCTCTCTACCAAGTACATGTAGTACACCAAGAAAATAATATGAATATTATTTAAAGTAGAATCCAACTATTATTTTGCGGGGTTGTTTCACTGTCAAGGAAACGAAGTTCAATTAGAATAGAACCGGAATTGTCGAAATTGGGGTCACACGTCATTCTTTGCGTTTTCCACTTCAGGGTTAATCAAAGTATATGAATCAGTATCCCGGTGTGCAATATTGCCACAAAGAGTTAATACTAATCACTAAGTACAGAGAACCGAGTAGGAACTCGCGCACAGTGGTATTTTGAAATATATGGGGAATTGTATGCGAATGCGCTAGTTGTGATTCCGAGTACGAATTATAATTTTGCAATCAGATCAATCTGATTAATTTTATTATATCCAATCATACAATTTACAAACTTTTTATAAGCATATTATTGGTTATAATATAAAATATGAAAAAAATACTATTGGTTGACGTCGGAATTTATGAATGCTCCATGGAAAAAAAATAGTGTGGATACCACTGTGCGCGAGTTCCTACTCGGTTCTCTGTACTCACAGCTACAGTACAAGTATAATAATAGTTCACACTTCACTGTCAGAATAAAATCCAGTAAAATCTTCTGCTCATTCTTCCAGGGGTCACTTCAAATGGCATTGCTGGTACCGGTAATGGAGCTACCGATGCGGTACACACAATTCACCAAATAATAATGGTAACGTTATGTGTGGTATCAGTGAGATAAATACCAATTGTTCTAGTATTAATAACATACTTCGAAGTACTTCGAAGTATAATGCAACACATACAACCATTAACAGCGTTCACAGTACCAAAATCACATACTGCGTAGTGTATACGGGTAAACACCATCTCGTGTGTAAATTCTAAGTTGACACCGCTGGGATTTGAACCCAGGTCTCCTGCAAGCAGGCGCGCTTCCATTGCGCCACACGTCGTGTTCTTGAACACCTTTCTATCGCGGTCATCGTTCTTGTCACCCTTCTAGAGCATACCGCTGTTTCATGAGCTGTAGAGTAAGTAATTTGACCGAGACGACACTGCAGATTTACCACATCGGTCGATGCACAGGAATCGCGGCGGTTCCGCGACAGGTCGACGGTTGGTAGATAGCACAGCTACCGACACACATGAGCATGTGTGTCATAGCGTTAGCTGTGCTATCTGCCATCGCTGCGCCCATATGTCTTGTGCATCATGCCAGCGCCTCTTGGCTCCACCATCGGCAGTGGACTTGCTAAAATGTGCAAGGAATAAGACAACATGCTTTTTAAAGTAACCAATTTCGTTTGACTCCTTGTTAAGTACGCCTATTACGAAGTACTCACATATTGTCGAAGTTGTTTTCACTTGTTGTCGAAGTTTTGCTCAGATACTCACATGTTGGCGGTTACTGTACTTCAAGTATTTACCCATTATGATATACTACTCCGAGTAAAGACCAATTCCCCGAGTAAGTCAAGCACTGCAATAATCATGTCTGTAGCCAATCAGAACCGTCAATCACACCTTGTCAAAGGTCTACTAGTAACCAGTACGTACTAGTACTAGTACTATAGTAGTACCTGGAGAACCTTGGTATTGTAGTGAGTACATGTAACGAATACAATCTGTCGCAGACAAATAACACCGTTCAATAAATCTGGATACTGGATTCAGCCTGAAAACCACTCTAGTATAGGGGCATATTTTTTGTACTCTGACCACATCAACTCTCCTGGGGATTTAGCCGTAACCCTGTAACCCCGGGTCTTCGTCCTACCCCCGCGTACACATACTTTGACAGACTGTGAAGTAACCTTAAAATGGAAGAATATTTGCTTGAATGGTTTTAGGCTAGGCCACTTAATCGTCCGCTTCATGGCTGTCCGATCTGGTTCGCAACAGTAGTACTCAATTTCTAT